CCCAATCCCCAGCCCTGCTGAGATCACCTCCTGCCATTCAGCCAGGATGGCCCAGGTTTCATTTCCCTGCACCGCAGCACAGTCACTGTGTGACATTGGGGACGTCACCTAGGGCATGTCTCCCGCGGCTGGCCCGGGCCAGCTGAGTCGCTCCCAGGGCGCAGGCTAAGGGGCTGTATAAGTGCTGTGTAGACGTCTGGGCTCGGGCTGGAGCCTGGGCTCTAGGATTGTGGGAGGCTCCCAGAGCCCAGGTGCCAACCTGAACCCAGAAGTCTACACGGGCATGACCCAGACCCCATCAGCTGGCACAGACCAGCCGTGGGTGCGTCTACACCGCAGCCTGAGCACGGGTTCTAAGTCAGGTTTGAGCTCAAGCCTGCTTTCCGTCCGCCCCTACGTGCGGAGTTACCCTGCCCCCTGGGCAGCTCAGGGCAAGCCGGTGCCCAAGGAATGGGAGAGGTGAGTGGCCTGTGAGCTCCCTGGCTAAGGGGCTGGAGACGTTCGCTCTCCTGCTGGGGAAAGCGAGGCCAGAGCCAGGCTGTAGGGGCCGTGCTGTGTGCCAGGGAACAGAGCTCACCGGGCGGCTGACGAGCAGGGAGTCTGGGCTCCAGCAGCAGGAGCAGCACCCCATCCTAAAGGCAGTGTCAGCCCTTTGCCCCCAGCCCACACTCCCCGCCTTCCGCTTCTGGCTGGGCCCCGTTCGCCAGGCTGCCCCGCCCCAGTGTCTGTCCTCTCTGTGGTCAGATGCCACCTGCAAACCCCCTCCCCCCAGCACTCCTCAAGGTTGGTGGGGGGTGAAGCCAGGGGCAGAGCTGCATGGCTGGTCTGGGGGACTGGGACAGAGCCGATCCCGTGCAGCGCCAAGCACACTGGCAGTGCTTGGTAAAGAATCCACTGGGAGCCCCTCAGCCCCTGCCCTTCCCTTTGGGTGGGGTGTCACTGCACGAACAGCCCCGCCCTTGCCCCAGATCCCCGTGTTAAAGTGCGTGTGCCAGCAGCAGGAGAAACGCTCGGCGCGCAGCCTGCTGGACTCGCAGAGCTCCCGGTGCAGCACCTCCGCACACACCTGTGGGAGCCTGCATGCCCGTGGGCCAGGTCACGCCGCCACTCACGTTGGGGCCCCTCTCAAATGGGGGCCAGGGGGCAAACTGCCCCTTTGCCCTGGAGATGGGAAATGTTCACTTAAAGTGGGACGGGGGTTTGAATCTCACAGCAGGACAGTCCCGACACCCGGGACTGGCAGGAGAAGTTGCATCTGGCCAGCAGCATCTTTGCATGGAGAGCAGGTGGGTTAGTGGTTCTGTCAGGGAACCAGGACGCCTGGGTTCTATTTGCAGCCCTGTTGCTGATGGGCTGCGCGCCCTTGGGCGGATCATGTTCCCTCTCTGCATCCCCTGTATTGTCCCATGTGAAGGGGGCAGGAGTCTCTCAGCCTTGTGCGCTGGCCTAGCTGGGCCTCAGTTTCCCTGGCATGTAGGCTGAGCTGTTGTGGGAGCTGGAGTGGGGGGGGGTCAGAGCTGGGCTCTGAGGCTTTGGGAGGGGATATATTGTTAACACTCTGTGTCTACCACTCCCACGTACTGTGCTATCAGGGGGTGTTACACTGGTCTCTCCCCAGTCCTTAACATTCAGTTACACCACTACAACCCAACAGCCCTGGATGCCCCTGCATCCCCGTGCGCCACCGCGACCCAGCTGTGCACACAAGCCTGTTGGGTCTTTTTGGCTCAGGGTCAGGTACTGGCCTGGGAGATGGAGGCTCAGAGGAAGAGGTTTGACTCGAACAGACTAGGGCCCCGGTTTGTCGTAGAGTTTTATACGGACGCCCCTCCCCCGTGACAGCTGAACACCTTCTACATAGAATCAGCCCCAACAGCACGCCCCCTCATGGGCTTCACGCAGTCTGCGGCCCGGCTTGGGGCCGGGCTTTGCAGGGGGTGGTGGGATGGGTGCATGAAGAAAAGGGGGGAATACACTGCTTTAGCTTGGGGCAGTTTCCTGTGTCCAGGGGCAATGGACGAGTGTCTGGGCCTGTCACATGACCATGGCAAGGGGTTACCCAACTACCAGCATCCCCTGATCCATCCTGCAAACCCCTGTGCTAGCAAAGAGTCTACGGTCTGTTAGTTTGTTACAAGACCTCTGCCCCTACTCAGCTCAGCAGAGACATGGAATGGTACCTTTGAAATCTGGCTGCCCTGCTGGATTTGGGATGGGGACAATCCTCGGGGAAGACCGTTCTTCCCCCCTTTCGACATCTGCAGACAACAATCTGCTCCAAGTCTTTCCCCTCCCTCACAGGACCAACGGCGGATTTCAATGCTCCTGGACTCTGGCCCTTTCCAGAGATGGGACATCAGTGCAGGCAGAGTGATTGACGGATTCCCAGGCCAGATGGGACCACTGCGACTCTCTAGTGTGACCATTTTAAGGGGGGCTCCAGAGGAACGGGGGCTCCAGCTACACCAGCGCCGCAGAGGCTGCAGAACTGGGCCCGTGTTTTGTTTCAATCAAGGCTGATGTTCAGGGAGGAGGTGGAAAGCGGTGGTTTTTGGATCACTGGGTTGCAGGTCAGCGTGTTTTCCAGGGCTGCAGCCCCTTCCGCTCCAATGCCTGGAGCGCACACAGCCCTCGCGGGGGCCCTCGCTCTCAGTCACAGCCCCGCAGCACTAGCCGGTGGGGGAGATGGAAACTTTGGCCAAGGGACAAACTTACTCCTGTGAAAAGGGCTGAGAGATCCCCACAGTCCACGCAAGAAACCAGCTTTGAAAGGTCTCTGAAAACGCCACTTCCCACTGCACTTGGAGCCGGGCGCTGTAGATGGGAGTCTAGTAAGCCCAAAAGCACCGGCAGAGCTTCAGAGAGACGGATCAGGACATGGAGCAACGGCCTGAAGCGAAGGAGGGACTAGACTAGACAGACTGAGCCCTTGTCAGTCACAGGAGCAGAGCGCCAAGGGCTGGTTTACTCCGCTGGGAGGGGTAGTGCCGCAGGGAGCTGTCTCTGGATGTGAGGCCACAGAGAGAGAAAGTGTGCGTGTGTGTGTGCGCGTGTGTGTGTGTCGAGAGCGCCAGGGCCGAGGGAACCCCTGCCCTACCCCAGCAGTGACAGTGCCAGCACACAACAAGCAGGTTTATTTTTAAAATACTTTATTTTTCTCAATACTGACATTACAAAAAAAAAAAGAAACAGAAAAATACAAAAAAGACCCCACTAGAAAACATTCAGGATCTCATTGAAACTGAGACAAACAAAGCAGCTCCCAGCCTCTCCCCCCGTCAGGGTTATCTGAACAGCGTTTCTGTTTTTATAACCGAACACGCAACATCGGAGGGACAAGGCATCATCGTAACCATTCCAACGGGTTTATAAATTAAGCGCTGCGTGACAGTTTCCCCCTCTCCAGAACGACGTCTTTGCCCTGGATTCCCTTCCCCCTACACGTTACACACTGTACATCTGTACATAGCGGACTGGGGTGTACGTCCCACAGCAGAGTATCAATGGACACTCCAGAATACCTCAGTTAAAACCAAGTTAGCTTAAAGTCAGCTCAAACTTACCAATGCAAGATTCCCAAGGTGCTCTGACAAGGCCTGGCTCGTCAGAGGCCTAGACACAGGGAAGGAGCCCAGAGAAACCCTCTCAGTTCAAGTCCAGAGGACTCCTAGGGCAATGGCCGTCTGCTTGACTAGAAACACCGTGCCTCTTTGGAGGATCAGCTTCTGAACCGGCCCAAAGGCAGGTTAAATATGCGTCATTGTCGGAAGAACCCGGCCCCAGAGATATTGGCAAGATAGGCTGACGTAGGTAAGAAATATAAAAATTCTCCCAATGGAAATCCAAGTTTAAAAAAATACAGCATTTAAAAACAAAGCCACCCAAGCAGATTCCCTCCTGCTCCTCCCCGAAACGCGTCCTGAATTCCATCTGCCCTGCAGGAAAATATCTACATGCACAATCTTCTTGCTGCTAAATCCCTACAGCGTAACTCAAACGCCAGCAAAACAAACCTCAGCTCCACTCACACTTGGCTCTGCTTTTACACCTACACTTCTGCTACACACGGATTACGTTCTCACAGACGTGATGTTCATATGGCTGAATTGATCCCCAAAAGAGCTGGGATGAACCACTCCAGAAAAAACCCTTATGGGGTTATATATAAAAGCAGCAATGCAAACTCCACACACCTGAACAAGAAAGCTCGCATCCTGGGCCCCCTGCCCTCCCTTTACTACCGGACATTTTTGGCATGCCAACAACACCCCGATAGGAGGACGCTGGCCCAACTCCATTCCCACCTGTCTTACATGCTCTGAACCGATAAAGCCGGGACGCTTAGGTTTTAAGAAGGGGCTGAGACCAGGTGCCTTGCAGCTCAGGGTTTGCATTCAGCATGGAAGATAATCCGTTGTAATCCTGGCACAGTAGCATGGCCCCCAGGTACCGTGGTTCCGCGTTCGAAACAGTTCCGCTGTGGTGGCCATGGTGTAGACAAACCGTGCCTGTGCCGTGCACGCTCATGGAATTTGTTTGGATTCTTGGTACTAATGGAACCCACCAGCAGCAAGCTTCAGAAAGGTGAAGCGAACACGAACCCTTCCGAGTCCTATGTACACGGGGTGGAATCTCTGCGCGTTTCAGGAAACGCAAATTCATCCTCTAGCCAGGAAGCTGACTTCAAAGCGTGCGATGTGAAAACCACCAGCTGATAAAACTCCCTGGGCCCACAGCCCAGGCCCACTTGCTTGTGCCAGGCAGAAAAGCTAGACCTCTAGGAAAAGGCACCCAGCCCAGAGAGCCAGAAGTTAGCCAGGAGTTTGAGCTCCTGAATCCCACACGGCGAGAGTATAACAGAGGCCGACAAAGGGCAGGCGATAGGGCTGGGGCTAACAGGACCGTGTGGAAAGGAGCGTGGGTTTTTTGCATTCGAGTGTGATCGGGCACCTCCGCTTTGTGCAGCTCAGATGCTGTGGCACGTGGGTTAGAAGTATTGCTGCTGGCAGAACGGCCCAGGGGCTCTAGGAGCACGGCAGGTGCTGTTTGAGGATCTGTCTCGTCTGCGGAGCTATTTTGTCTGGGAAGCGGACTTTGAACTCTACAATCAAGTCTCCCCGTTGGGTGGGGACCTTTGGGAAGGGCAGCCCTTCCCCTCGCAGTCTCTTCACGGTGCCAGGCTTGATGATGTCGTTGCAGGGCAGAGGGATCACCCTCCCGTCGAGAGTGGGAATGTTCACAGTACAGCCGCACAAGGCCTGCAAGGAAGAAGAGCAAACAGTGAGACTGGCTGCAACTTGGGGTCTCTAGAAAAAGCCCATGCGTGTAGAGCAGCCAATACATGGAGATATACCTGTCTCATAGAACTGGAAGGGACCTTGCAAGGTCATCAAGTCCAGCCCCCTGCCTTCACTAGCAGGACCAAGTACTGATTTTGCCCCAGATCCCTAAGTGGCCCCCTCAAGGATTGAACTCACAACCCTGGGTTTAGCAGGCCAATGCTCAAACCACTGAGCTACCCCTCCCCCTCAGGGCCGGGAACCCACGACTGGCCTCAGCAGTTCTGCTCTCTCACCCAGCAGACATGACACCAGCCTCTGGCCTGTCGCTGTTGCCCATTTCACGTCTATTGCAACACGGCAGCGACACCATTATCATCTGGGGGATATACAGGAGTCTCCCCCATGTACACATCCTGGGTGTTCTACTGAGAACGCCCCAGAAAAGCACATGGCATGCGGGTTCAACCCCGGGGGTGGTTTCAGGGTGGCACAACTCTTCACTCCCCTCAGGCCTTCAGAAGAGGAGCAGGTTTCTCTAGAACTCTACCCAAGCGTGCACGGCGCTCAGGACAGGTTGCATTTCTCCTCTTACCCCATGTTTGTCTGAACCAAGAGAAGCAGAGACCCCGAAGGGGAGGAAATCAGTCACTGTCTCCTCAGCAGGTCAATGGACTGGCGAGGTGCCCTGGTGCTGCGGAGTGTGGCAGGGACTCTGGCTACAGTCCTGACCACATTTTGTGCAGTACAAATCATAAGCTCGGAAGCGGCTCATTAATAGATATAATCTCCCTGCCCCCCTAGTAATGGCGAATCAGTGGATGTTTGCACTTCCCCCTTTGCACAGCAACACGAGCTAGAACGCTGCAGCCAGACCCGATCCCGACAGGACCAGACTACACGTGTCAGGTTCAAGTCCGATTGGAAAACATCCTGACTGTCTCAGGCTTGGGTCGACTCTCCTCCTGCCCAGGGGGCTGGCATGGCAGAGGCTGCATGCCACACTCCTGCCACTTGCTGCGCCGTGCGCACTTTGGAGCGAGCGTGCCAAGGATCCGCAGCAGCGGCTGGCAGGAGTGAGGCACTGCCTGGTTCTGGGGGAGGGGAGCGTCTGGTCAGAAAACGACTCTTGGGCTCAGGTCCAGATCAGATCAGGCCCAAGCAGACCTGCAGGAAGAACTTGGAGCAAGTGAGCTGTGGGGAGGTCTCCTCAAGGCCTGTTACCACGGCAGACAATGCCTGAGGCACTGGCCATTCCCAAGGTGTGCTTTACAAAGCACTTCGGAGCTCACCGGGATCCAGTGAATTGCAGGCTTGCGCTAGCCACCAGCCTGTGCATTGCCCACACCGTGACTCTCAAACCCGACGACTGAATCACCAATCGGGAGTTTTTAATTACCGCACAGCGACTACCCCAAAATGTCGTGTCTTTCTTGGTAAGCAGGACCCGGTACTGTCAGCCAATATGTGGCTTGGTTTCAGCTGGTCCTGACTAAATCAGCCAAAACCTAGAGCGTTTCTAACATGAGCCATCTGGCTTGGAGAATGGAAGAACACTGCAGATGGAAAACCTCACGGAAAGTACATACAGATCTAAGCCTCAAGTAACATAACCAAGGATTCTGTATGCACCCAGCAAACCGGGCAGGGTATGTGCACGGTAACTGCAAATGCCCAGAAAACAGCCAGTCACACACGAGCTGGGTTTTGATGAAATCAAGCCCCAGTGTCTTTTTTTAGGAACCTCATTACATGCAGCCTGACTTCCAACAAACTATAAAAGGCAACAGCCTTGGTGTGCAGGGACAGGTCACGCTGGGCAGACGCAGCCCTGACACTCGGCACTGGAAGGGCAGGGGTGCTGCAGGCCAGGATAAAGGCAGCTTGACAGAGCTGTGCATGCAAGAAGCTTGCCCTGAACCTGCCTACAGCCAGGTAGTGTCGGTCAGTCAGCCCAAGGAATGCTAAACTGCACCAATAAACCCCCCAATGCCGGGCCTGGCAATCTCAAATCCACGATTCCACGTGCGTCCCAGGCAGCAGAGTGCACCCCCCCTGCGGGGCACGCCAGTCTCCCAGCACAGACGAGAAGAGCGCGGAGGAGCGTGTGGGGATCTGGAGTGGAGTGGCCACCTCTGTACTGCCCTAGATTTTAAGGCCAGGAGGGACCATCATCCACCTGGTCTGACCTCTTGCACAGCACCGGCCAGTAATCTCTAAATCAAGCCCTCCCCTGCTGGCCGAGACACAGCCCGTCTTTTAGAAAGACATCCGGTCTCCAGTTAGCGATTCCACCTGACGGAGAATCCATGGGGTGAGTTGCTCCAATTTCCCCTCGCTGTTAACAAACAGGGCCTTCTTTCCCCTCTGAACTTGTCTAGCTGTAGCTTCCAGCCATTGGTCCTGTTCTGCCTTTGGCTGCGAGATTCAAGAGCCGTCTGCCACCCGAAATCTCATCCCCACCTAAGTGCCTATAGACTGTGGTCAAGTCACCTCTTCGCCTTCTCTCAGCTGAACTAAACGGATCAAGCTTCTTTAGTCTCTCACTGTGAGGCATGTTTTCCCGAATATCATTCTCTGGGCAGGGCTACAGTCCTACAGGCTCTATCAAATGAGACCCCCCTTGTCCCCTGCCCCTGCAGTAGGACGGAGCGTCTGCTAAAGCGCTCTAGTGGGGTTGAACTGCAGCACCTCTTCCTTCTGAGCGTTCCCAACGGGCCGCACTCTACCCTTCGCTGACCGCCCAGGAGCCTGGGAGAGAGAAGCAGAAGCTAAATTTAGACTGTGGCCTTGTTGTTCAGTCCCTGATGAAGTAACTGAATGTTTCTGCTGCTCACCAGCTGTTGCCCTTCCCAGAGCTCAGCATCTCGGCCCAGCGCGATGGATTTATCTATAGCACACGGGCCCTGGCACCTCTGCCAACAGCCTCCAAAAGGCTAGGAAAGCAAGAGCCAGGCATTCCTCGGCTGCCCACTCGGTGCTCGCAGCACAGACGCTTCCTGGAAGTTAAAGCTCTCGCAAGTTCTCTCCCTCCCTGCAGCAGGGAGACCCACTGTCGGACGTGGGCAGGGAGCTTACCTAGAACTGTATCAATGCACCTCTGCCCCCGGCTACTGGTACCCACTGCTTCCAACAACCTGCACACAGCCCCCTCAAAGCACAACGGGGGATGAGTCTCTACGGTTCACCGTCCTCCAGGGTTCCTCTCTGCTCTCAATAGAGCCCACTCTCCTGTAGGCTACAGTGGCTGGCTCCCAGCATGGCTCTAGCGCCACAGAGGGTTTAAGGACAGACTGTGTGGTCGGCTAACCTAGAGGAAGTGCCCTGCCTGGCTTCTCCTTTCAGCAGGGTGGTAGTGGCTTTGCTGTACCGGCTCATTCAGGCATTGCCGCTTTCTGTTCTGGTGCGGATCTTAACAAGTTTCGCCTCTTTAGTAAAGGGAGCGCATGTAGCTGGACATGGGCTCCATCTCCCCCACGCTGGGGCCTCACCAACTCAAGAGGGCCTGTGCAAAGCTGACAGGGGCAGCGGGGGGAGGGCTCTTCTGGGTTCAATTTCTGGGCTTTGCTTTTAGCGACTCTGTGGCACTGGGCTGCACGCACCAGTGAGGAACCGGGAGCCAGCCCCTTGGGAAGGGGGTGCCGTGTGCCAGTCTGTAGGAAACTCTTTGGCTGATGGTGCTGATTTTGGGGGTGTGGGGAGAGGGTACCCAGGATGCCACTCAAGCCTTGCATTCTCTGGAAGAGGCTGGGATCCACGCTGCTCCTGGCTGCTGGGATAGGCACTGGAGAGTCACACGGTCCATTTTCCCTCTGCCCCACAAGCCCTTGAGCATACGTCTCTGCAGCACTTGCAGCCAGGGCTGCTCAGAGGCCAAACTGTAGGGCCAGCCCAGCAATGACTAACCCCACCCGGCTGTGCCCAGAGCAAGAGAGAGCGCGTCCCTGCAGCTGAGCTAGGTAAGTTCCTCCCCAGCAAAAGCCATGTGTAAACCACCCGCAGGGACCGATCCTGGTCCCCGTGAACTAGCTTATTGCCACTCTGTAACCAACAACTCCTCTCCGCACTGCTGTGGGTCTGCCTGCGGGAGTCAAGGAGGGAAGGAAGCTGTCACACAGCCTCCCAGGTTCAATCCGGACAGCATTCCCCTTCCAGCTTCTGCACACGGGCGGCTTTGTATGGCCAAACGTGGGAGTCACTCACTTGCGGGTACGCTGCAAGCCAAGCTGCCAGGGCTGGCGTTGGCTGGCTGCTTGTGGCATTTCCAGCCTCGGGCTGTTTGGCCGGAAAGGTGACCCCACTGGGGTCTTGCTCCCACAATGGCAGGGTGACAGGGAGGGCTGTAGGTCAGTGCTGGGGGCCTCTGCTCCGACAGGCACTTCTGCATCTGCAGAACGAGCGCTGGGCTTGTGCAGGTTCCCTGGGATCAGGCAACTACGCAGAGGCTCCGCTGAGGAACAAGCCCCCAGCAGTGCGACCAGTAAATACCAGAGACCGAGCTGGAGCCCTCCCGCTGCACGTCTGAGGAGGCAAAGAGAAAGACCTCCTGGGATGTCAGCACTAAATCCCAGCCCTGCCTCCTGCGGAATGGCCCGTGTGTGCCGGGGGTGGCGCTGCAAGGCAGCCTGCGGTAACAGGCCACAGAGCTCGGCAATGCAGCGTGGAACTCCTTGTGTCCCTAAATAACCCCAACAGCTCTGCTCACACGTGGGCGGGGATGTTGCCTCGCTTTCATCAAGGGGAAAACATCACCATTAGCGAATGGGATGTGGAGCGATGCTCCGAGAAGAGCCAACGCTGCTGGGGGTGAAGAACTTAGAGCCTGAGTAGGTGTGCTGCTCGCAGGGGAGGTTCTCACGAACCCCCTCTCCCTCCAGCCCCTGGGAGCTGGGCTCGGAGCAGACACCCACACTGAACCCAGGCGCTAACAGGTGCAGTTGCGTGAGGCCTCCAAGATCTGCTGGCCCTGCCCCTTGGCT